GCTGGGTGAGTTGGACACATTTCCACTGGCTCTCAATGCTATGAATTATGTTGATCTGTGCTTTATTTATTTATTTTTATTCATTATAAAGCTGTCATGTCGGTTCCTTATTTCTACTGTGTGGATTTAATTTGCTAAAAACAACAGCTTTCTTTTCCAGGTGTTGCAGTAAGCTCAGTGTCTCTCCAGAAGAGGGTCAATGGAGGTCAGAACTGTAAAGATGATGAGCGACACTATCATGTGAAGGTCTATAGATGTGATCACACAAAATATGAAATCTGTGGAGGATCGCTGATCAGTGATCAGTGGGTTCTGACTGCAGCTCACTGCTGGAACTCAAATCCAGGATGGTAAGTGAAGAAAAGGTTTACTGAAATATCACCAATAACTTATTGTTTCTTTAACAATTTTGTCTTTCTTGCCTAGGGCTAATGAGGCACATGTAGGACTACATCCTAACAGGGCTTGAAGGAAGATTTATTCAATCACTCAACGTGAGGTTTATAGAGACAGCAACGGTCGTGAACATGACATCATGCTTCTGAAACTGCAAAGGAAAACAACAATCCAACCAGTCAAACTACCTGACTGTCCAGATACTCTCCCACTGGAGGTTTTATCTTCTCAACTTTCAGAATTTGGTTCTTGATCTGCCAGATGAGGCAAAGTTCATCCAGGAAAATTTTTGTCCTCTGATCTCCCAGAGTTAGCCATTTTTCTTAATGTGATTTATTTTTAGTTTTGTTTTTCTTGTGTTTCAGCGGCACCAAGGTTCAGTTTGCAGGATATGGAGACGCAAGAGTTGGCCCTTTTAACAAAAGAAGTGAGATGAATGTTCATGTTTTTATTACCTCAAAATGATTCAGATGATTAAAATCATTTTTAGACTCTCTGCTGAAGCTGAACTTAGCAACCTTGTTGAAGTTTTGATTATCAAAAACTCTGAGATAAACTGCTTAAAGCTGAAATAGGAAGTTCTGAGAAAACTGTGAGCTTAGCCTGAAAATTTGAACAAGTACACATTACAGTCTTTCCCCTGTAAAGTGAGCAGCATGTGCATGAGCATTGATCGACAGCACTAAAACCCTCCTCTTGGCTCTGATTGGTTGTTTTTAACCTGAAGTGGTGCATTTCTGCAGATAGCTAGAAAAAAGGGAGGAGATCAAACTTTTCATAGATTATATGTCTCAAATTAACCATGAGGACATAGTGACAGTTTTGATAAAAATGTAAAAGATACATTTTATACAAGTAACATCCTGCAGTTTAATAACCACAGATAACAAGGCGATATCCTGAGCAAAATGTGTCAACACTTAAACAGACCTTACATGTTTATGTTGCTTTTCTTCTACAGTCAAACATCGTCCAAATGACCTTCAGTGTGCAGAGTTTAAGATTGGTAAACATGAAAAGTTGGAAGAGCTACTGGCAAAAGACAAGGACTTTGACTTCAGTTACCAGAAGTGGTACAGTGTGAGCAGCTCTAAGAAGGACACGTCAGTCTTTAAACAATTTTCTGCACAAAATTTAGACATTGTTTCTACGTTACTGGATAAGTCACAGCAGTAAAATAACAAAAAGATTTATGTTTGTGACAGGGTGACTCTGGTGGAGGATTTGTGTTCAAGAACAGGCTGTATGGCGTTTGTGTCTTCACTGGAGATCCACTGTATGCACTCAGTGCACCAAGTGCTTTCCTGGATGTCTGTGCCTACAAGAAGTGGATAGATGACACAATTAACCAAAAACCCTAGGTTGCTAGGTGTCTGTATTGTGGCTAAATGTTCCTAGCATCATAAAATCATAAAGTTCAAGTTAATCTTTAAATTTCACTTTTCAGTTGATTCATTTTCTGATTTACAGCTGAATTATTTGGGGATTTAAGTTAATGTGTACAAGTTAATCTGTAATAATANGGCACCAAGGTTCAGATTGCAGGTTATGGACCAGCACAGGTTGGCCTTCTTAACAAAAGAAGTGAGATGAATGTTCATGTTTCTCATTGTTTTTGTTATTACCTCAAAATGATTCGGATGATTCAAATCAGTTTTTAGACTCTTTGCTGACACTGAGCTTAGCAAGCTAGTTGAAATTTTGATCATCAAAAACTCTGAGATAAACTGCTTAGAGCTGAAATAGTAAGTTTTAACAAACACGCATTACAGCCAGGTCCCTCCCTCCAAGTGAACAGCATGTACATGAGCATTGATTGACAGCGCTAAGACCCTCCTCTCGGCTCTGGTTGGTTGTTTTTGACCTGGAGTGGTGTATTTCTGCAGATGGCTAGAAAAAAAGAGAGGAGGTGGAGGAGATCAAGCTTTTCATAAATTATCTGTCTCATATTAACCATCAGGACATAGTGACAGTTTTGATACAAATGTAAAAAAAAAAACATTTTATACAAGTAACATCCTGCACTTTAGTAACCTCAGATTACAAGGTGATGTCCTGAGCAAAATGTGTCAACTCTTAAACAGACGTTACAGGTTTATGCTGTTTTTCTTCTACAGTCAAACATCGTCCAAATGACCTTCAGTGTGCAGAGTTTAAGATTGGTAAACATGAAAAGTTGGAAGAGCTACTGGCAAAAGACAAGGACTTTGACTTCAGTTACCAGAAGTGGTACAGTGTGAGCAGCTCTAAGAAGGACACGTCAGTCTTTAAACAATTTTCTGCACAAAATTTAGACATTGTTTCTACGTTACTGGATAAGTCACAGCAGTAAAATAACAAAAAGATTTATGTTTGTGACAGGGTGACTCTGGTGGAGGATTTGTGTTCAAGAACAGGCTGTATGGCGTTTGTGTCTTCACTGGAGATCCACTGTATGCACTCAGTGCACCAAGTGCTTTCCTGGATGTCTGTGCCTACAAGAAGTGGATAGATGACACAATTAACCAAAAACCCTAGGTTGCTAGGTGTCTGTATTGTGGCTAAATGTTCCTAGCATCATAAAATCATAAAGTTCAAGTTAATCTTTAAATTTCACTTTTCAGTTGATTCATTTTCTGATTTACAGCTGAATTATTTGGGGATTTAAGTTAATGTGTACAAGTTAATCTGTAATAATATCTTATTTCTCAATAAGTAACGCTACTGTTTGTAACAATCAGTAAATAAATAAATGGCTGTTATCTGATCAGATTGTCTCTCTTGTGCTTATTTCTTGTTGTTAGTGAAGAAAATAACAGATTTTAAAATATTGGACATATATTGAACTTTAAAGGCTGTTGAACGAACTTAGACTCCAGAAAAAATACTTACAGAACAAGAACATTAAAAATTTGAACATACATAGAAAGTTCAGAAAATATGTACTTACTTATAATTATATAGCAACCCAGAACAGGGATTAGAACAAACTTGGAATCCAGAAAAAACTACTTTAGCAACTACATTTTAGACCAGTGGTTCTTAACCTTTCTTGAGGTACCGAACCCACCAGTTTCATATGTGCATTCACTGAACCCTTCTGTAGTGATAAAT